ACACACACACACACACACACACACACACACACACACACACACACACCAGTCAGTGCTGGTTGAAGGAGGGAAGCAAAGTGCCTTGCACGACCAGGGCTAAAGAGGAGCCGAGCCGAGGAGTAGGAAGGTGGGGCCATGGGAGCTCCGGCAGCCTGCGTTCCAGGACCTCGTACTGAGCCGAACTCCTCCAAGAGCTGGCCTCTGGTCTCAGCGCTAGCTGGCAGCGGGCCAGGCCCCAGTCCCTGCAAGGAGTGGAGGCCACCGCCATGGCTGTCCCTGATGACAGCCACAGCCAGCAGCAGAGACCCAGGAGACCTTTGAAAAGCTGAGCTGGCGGATGCCAGCTGGCCTCTTGCCTCCCTGGGCACAGTCACCAGTGGGGAGCAGCGAAGCTTCCATGGCTGCCTCCCGCGCCACACGACTGTGACTCAGCCCTGCACTGGCAGCCTCCCAGTTCAGGAGGCTGTGCTGACGCTGGCCCGCAACAGGGCTCCTCACGCACACACAGGCCTGGCCCCTGGCCCCTGCCTCCCTCCCCACTGCCTGTGGCTCTGCATCGACCCCTGGGTGCTGGCCAGCGGCCTTCCCAGGCCTGGGCTTTGGCAGAAGGCTGTGCCCCTGCTTCCTCCCACAGCCTGCCTAAGTGGGAGCCAGTTCTGTCCTGGCCTGGAGGGAAGCAAGGCTCTGCCTGTCCATGCAGCCTGGACATTCTCCCACCCACTCTGCCCTCGAGTGCCCTCACCCCTGCTCTGTGCCACACCGCCCAGCCATACCACACACCACAGAAGGAGGAAGGGAAGCAGCGGAGTTCCCTCAGCGTTTTTAATAGCTGGTCTCTCGTGGTGCCTTGATGACCCCCGCAGGAGTCTGAGGCAGGGACGACTGGACTGGCACCAGGTCAGCCCTGAGCCATATTTGCACGAGGATCTCTGCATCTGGTTGCTCGGGGGTCTGGGAGCCCCAGAAGGACCTGTGACCTGTGTTTTCCTAGGGGAGAAGGCACAGTGTTCCTCAGGTTCCACAGGGGCTGCCACTCCCCAGGAGGCTGCTCAGATGTCCTGGAAGGTCAGGACCAGGTGAGCACCTTCCTTGCAGTGCAGAGTGAGCTCTCCATGCCACAGCCGGCAGCCTGAGTGCAAGTTGGATGACTGTGAATTTTCAAAATGCGCTCACCTAGACCTGCTCAATCAGTCACTGTCATTAGGCCTGGAATGTTTTCTTTGTAATGGTGCCGGGACTAAACCCAGGGCCTCACACACGTGAGGCAAGGGTTCGACCACTGAGCTACACCCTAGCCCTCCTTACTTTTGAGATAGGGTCTCACTAAATTGCCCCCTAAGTCTCATTAAGTTGTGATCCTCCTGCCTCAGCCTCTCAAGTAGCTGGGATTATAGGCATGCACCACTGTGCCCTGGCTCCAGAATCTACTACTGACAAGTTGTCTGGACAATTCTGAAGTGAAGCAGCCAGGGACTGCCATTCAATCCCTGTCCTATTCTCAAAGGCTCCACCGTCGAAAATGGTAGGGGCTAGCTGTTCACATTTCATTACATTTAAACAAAATAAAAAAAACCCAGTTCCTCATTACACTAGCTACCCTATTGGACAGTGCAGATGGAAAACATCTCCATCGTGTAGAAAGTTCCAGCAGACAGTGCCGGTCTAAGGCTACTACAGCAACATCTTGGACAGTGAAATTTCTGCTCTTTGGGGTCTAGGACAGGAATGAGGTGTAAGCTAAATGAATTTTTCATTCACTAGACGGTAGAAAACTAACGTTTGAAACCTTGATCTTTCTGAAATGTACCATATTTCAGTTTCCTCTTTTAATAAGTAAAGTATAGTGAAAATGCCAGACTAAGAACCAGAAAGTTATGGGTTCTAACCTTGGCAAATGAAAGAAAAGGGTAGTAGGGCCATTTTTATCAAGTGAAATCATAATGCATCCTCCAACATATGAAAGCTAGAGCAAGCAACTGGTATGCAACTCACATTACAAACAGCTGCTCTAACTCCACCTGCCCAGCATTTCGCCACCCACCAAGGGAGCCTACAGAGTCCTAGGTGTCCAGGAAGAGTTTGGAAGCCAGTGGACTTAAGACATCTTCTGGGGTTCCTTCCAGATCTAGGAATGTAACTGATCTGCTGGGATCATCTGAGGACCATGACTCCAAGCTGGGACAGTGGCCAGTGTTTCCTGACCAGTGTGAAGACGTGGCTGGGAGAAACCAGCATAACGTAGCACAGCCCCAAGACAGGATGGGGCTCAGCTGCCGCCTCTTGAGCTTCTGCCCTGACCTCCCGCAGGCTCCCTAGCTTCTCTCAGCTGCTCCAGAGTTGTTCTGAGGTGGTTGGAGGTACAGCGCAATACACAAAATGCCAACGAAAGATGCCAAATGAGTGTTCATTCCTTTTCACTTCTCCAGACTGAGAGCCACCGTGGAGCTGTTGGCCATTTTGGTATCACATGACCGAGCTGTGCAGAGCCTCCCCGAAGGTGTCCACCCCAAGTCTTGGCTCTCCAGGTGGTGGGAAACAAGGGTCTGCTTTACAGGGTTGCCTTGCAAATGTCCTCTGAGGGCCTGGAGCAAACCCCTCTCTTAACTGTTTCATCTGGAAGCAAAAACTTGTCCTTCTCTGAATGCCCAGAAGGGATAAACAGCAGAAGCAGAAAGACTCAACTTCCTTAATCAGATATTGGCTGAAAACCAATGTCATCCTTGTGCTTCCTCTTTTCAGCCTTTAGCTTGCCTGGCCAGCAGGCCACATTGGGCAAGCGTCTGCCTATCAACAAGGGGGCCAGGCAGAGAGAGCCATCTGCCAGGCTGTGGGCCAGGGCCCTCACATGTGCTCATCCCTGGCTTTTCCTTCCTCGAACCCTGCCCAGCCAGCCACGGCAGGTCTCCCACCTCTTCCCAGCCCCCTTGTTCCTCAGTAAGCACAGAGGTCCTCACAGGGGACTGCTTGCCTCCTGAGACGCCTGCCCACATCTCCCTGGTGCTTTCAGACCTGCCTCCTCGCTGTGGTATGCAGTGACCACGGCTGCCTACCAATGTCTTTCTGTGGGGCTCGCTGCCGCAGCTCCGCAGACATAGAGGGATAAGTCATCTGCCAGAACAAATGAGGCTAAATTATGCAACAAGGGCATCGAACACAGGTTAGGGCTCAGATCAGGATGCTCTTGGCCCCATTCGACCCCAGGGTCTGCTCATCTACTG